TGGCTTGCACCGCGCTGTGAATTCAAAGACTCACATAATTGTCAAGATGAATCATAAGCTTGGAACTTAGGCCGAGATTCATTCATTGGCACAGAAGATGGATGCCATGAAGGATAGAGTGTACGAATCAGCACGGATTGGGATAGTTTAATGTCCATTATTGGGATTTTGAGAGGTTGAGGACCAACAAACTAAGACAGAGAGGAAATTATCTCTGTCTGGCCCCAAAACTATTTCTAATCGGAATCTGGCGCCCTTGAGTCTGCAAGGCTACAAAAAAAAAAAAAAAAAAACTCAGAAGATATGTGGAATGTGGCGTCGCTATGGCAACTCAACTCTGTCTCCTATCCCAGTATACTATAGTATGTTTAGAATGACCTGAAAAAGTATTCAAGTACACGTACTATAGAATGACCACAAATAGTTTTAAAATACACATACTATAGTAAAACCTTTAGAATGACCAGAAAATTTTTTAAAAAACATAGTATAGAACAATGTTTAGAATGACCTCACATAGTATTTTAATACACATTTTATAGTATAATAGTTAGAATGATCTGAAATTGTTTGAAAACACACAGACTATAGTATATTCTTTAGAATGACCTGAAATGGTATTAAAATACATATACTATAGTATTACGTTTAGAATGACCAGCTCTTGGAGGGTGCAGACGCTTTTCTTCTCTCCTCCATGTCTTGTCCTCAAGGCCTTTGTCTGTCTATGCGTGTTGGGTGTACGGCTGCATCTGCATTTTTTCTGGAAACTGAAATTCACTTAAATGGATCTCGTCAGTTGGTCACTCAACGCGGTTGATGAAATTTTTTCAACGATGAGAACGGGAGAAGGGGCTCTTGGATGCCCCTCCGGGACAGGCCAGATGTCTGTGGAGGACTCTGAAGATGTGTGGATATTTGTGGTGTTGGGTTTCCTGCCGATCGGCCTTGGAGGCTTCCTGTCTTCCCGGAAAATTAACGAGCTGTAGAGGAATATTGGCCTGATCCCCGAACTCAGAGATGGCTTGCACCGCGCTGTGAATTCAAAGACTCACATAATTGTCAAGATGAATCATAAGCTTGGAACTTTGGCCGGGATTCATTCATTGGCACAGAAGATGGATGCCATGAAGGATAGAGTGGACGAATCAGCACGGATTGGGATAGTTTAAGGTCCATTACTGGGATTTTGACAGGTTGAGGACCAACAAACTGTAAGACAGAGAGGATATTATCTCTGTCTGGCCCCAAAACAATTTCTAATCGGAATCTGGCGCCCTTGAGTCTGCAAGGCTACAACAAAAAAAAACCTCAGAAGATATGTGGAATGTTCCGTCGCTATGGCAACTCAACTCTGTCTCCTATCCCAGTATACTATAGTATGTTTAGAACGACCTGAAAAAGTATTCAAATACACATACTATGGTATAATGTTTAGAATGACCACAAATTGTTTTAAAATACACTACTATAGTAAAACCTTTAGAATGACCAGAAAAAGTTTTAAAATACATATACTATAGTATAATCTTTAGAATGACCTGAAATGGTTTTAAAATACACATATTATAGTACAATGTTTAGAATGACCTCACATAGTATTTTAATACACATTCTATAGTGTAATATTTAGAATGATCTGAAATCGTTTGAAAATACACATACTATAGTATATTCTTTAGAATGACTTGAAATGGTATTAAAATACATATACTATAGTAGAACGTTTAGAATGACCAGAAAAACCATTACAAATACACATTCGATAATATAATGTTTAGACTGACCTGAAATAGTTTTAAAATACACATATGTTTATCATCCAAGGTACGATTACGAACAAGATTGTCGTCGACATAGATGAGGGTACCTCGCTCTCGAGCATCAGGGCAGGCTTTGTCCAAGAAGATGTTGAACTCAGCTGGTGAGTTGGAATAACCGAAAGGACACCGAGTTAAGGTGTACTGGCAGTTGGCAAAGGAGAAGGCTAGTTTGTGTTGGTCCGATTTATGGACAGGAATTGTCCAGAATCCAGACGCAATGTCAAGGGTGGAGAAGTATTTAGCGTATTTCACTTTTGAGAGTTCTTGTTCCAGGCACGCCATCGGCTACCTAGACAAGGGAACCTGTTTGTTGAGTTGCCTGTAGTAAATGGTTAGTCGCCACTTACCATTAGGCTTCTTTACTGGCCACAATGGAGCCGAGTAGGTGCTGTTGCAGGGTCGGATGATCCCTTTAGTCACGACGCTTTCAATGATTTCCTGGACTGGCCCGTTGGATGCCAGGGGAATCTTGTATGGACGCACTAAATTCGGCGCAACATGTGGCAGTGTAGGAATCCTGACCTCATGGATAGTGGTTAGATCACAGTCCAAGGAGTCGAGTGAAAGAAAATCTTTGTATTTTAACAAAAGTTGTCAGTGTTTGTCTCGCTCGACATCGTTGGTAAGAGCATCTGCTTGGTCCACGACCTGTTCAATCTGAGAAAAAACATCAGAGGGAGTCTCTGATGGCTTTGAGCTCGGCAGTGAGCATGCGGTTCCCCCATGCTCAGAATCACCTACCGCAAGGCAGCGTGAGTCGGGGAAAGAAGGTGGAGTGAATGGCAGAGGTTTTCTAACACTACCTTCAGTTCCCCAATATTGATAAAAGCATCAAAGCACTTCAAAACATCGATGCCAATGAGCAAAGGCATGGCTCCACTCTCACAGATGTACACGGGGTGTGTCAAGCTCACGGGACCGATCGTGAATTGGAGCAGAGTCTTAGAAGAGCACTGTAGAATCAGAGAAAACACGGATAGTTAATGCACAGGGAATCAGTTCTGGAGGACGTACGCCTCCCCCACATCCAAGCAGACGCAGTCGAAAAGAGACTTGCTCATGATTGTAAAATCTGAACCCGTATCTAAAAGTGTGTTGTAGGGATGCCCCTGTTGCAATATGACAGATACTGTGGGCTTACCACCCTGTGGCAGGAGAGGTCCCAACAGTAGTTCGTCAGGCTCGACACCAGGGGTGCCGGGCCACTATCCGTGGAGGTTGCACTTCTCATCAATGTGGATGGAGCGATATGGGACATGTTGTGTGTTTCCTGTAGTTCAGAGCCAATCAGTACATCCGGTTGCAGCGTTTCCATCTTATCTGGAGGCAAATCAGCGGAGCACAGGGGTTGAGCCCCTCCCACCTGGGAGTCATCTCCAATGGCTTGGACTTTTGTGACTTCCTGTTGCAGATTGAAAAGTTGCATCTGCATGTTTTTCATTTCAGCAAACTGCATATAGCTGGGTCTGTGTTTCATATTTCCACTGGCAAAATAGCATTTGCATTTGAAGTTTAAATTCATTTTTCGTCTGTAGAATGAGAGAAGTCAAATGATAATTTACTTTAAAGCCATTGTACAGAAGTAACAGGTCCTTTAATTTGTTAAAAGATTAATGGAAGCTGAATAGGAAACCCCTACACATACTATAGTATAATGTTTAGAATGACCTGATATAGCATTAAAATACATATACTATAGTATAATGTTTAGAATGACCTGAAAAAGTATGAAAATACACACGCTGTAGTATATTGTTTCAAATTACCTGAAATAGCATTAAAATACACATACTATAGTATAATGTTTAGAATGACCAGATTTAGTACTAAAATACACATAGTATAATTTTCAGAGTGACCTCACATAGTATTAAAATACACACACTATAGTATATTGTTTAGAATTACCTGAAATAGCATTAAAATATACATACTATAGTATAATGTTTAGAATGACCTGAAATAGCATTGAAATACACATACTACAGTATAATGTTTAGAATGACCTGAAAAAGTATTAAAATACACACTTTATAGTATATTGTTCAGAATTACCAGATATAGTATTAAAATGCACTTACTATAGTATAATGTTTAGAATGACCTGAAATTCTCTTCTTCCGGCTCTTGGAGGGTGCAGACGCTTTTCTTCTCCTCTCCTCCATGTCTTGTCCTCAAGGCCTTTGTCTGTCTATGCGTGTTGGGTGCACGGCTGCATCTGCATTTTTTCTGGAAACTGAAATTCACTTAAATGGATCTCGTCAGTTGGTCACTCAACGCGGTTGATGAAATTTTTTCAACGATGAGAACGGGAGAAGGGGCTCTTGGATGCCCCTCCGGGACAGGCCAGATGTCTGTGGAGGACTCTGAAGATGTGTGGATATTTGTGGTGTTGGGTTTCCTGCCGATAGGCCTTGGAGGCTTCCTGTCTTCCCGGAAAATTAACGAGCTGTAGAGGAATATTGGCCTGATCCCCGAACTCAGAGATGGCTTGCACCGCGCTGTGAATTCAAAGACTCACATAATTGTCAAGATGAATCATAAGCTTGGAACTTTGGCCGGGATTCATTCATTGGCACAGAAGATGGATGCCATGAAGGATAGAGTGGACGAATCAGCACGGATTGGGATAGTTTAAGGTCCATTACTGGGATTTTGACAGGTTGAGGACCAACAAACTGTAAGACAGAGAGGATATTATCTCTGTCTGGCCCCAAAACAATTTCTAATCGGAATCTGGCGCCCTTGAGTCTGCAAGGCTACAACAAAAAAAAAAAACCTCAGAAGATATGTGGAATGTTCCGTCAATATGGCAACTCAACTCTGTCTCCTATCCCAGTATACTATAGTATGTTTAGAACGACCTGAAAAAGTATTCAAATACACATACTATGGTATAATGTTTAGAATGACCACAAATAGTTTTAAAATACACTACTATAGTAAAACCTTTAGAATGACCAGAAAAAGTTTTAAAATACATATACTATAGTATAATCTTTAGAATGACCTGAAATGGTTTTAAAATACACATATTATAGTACAATGTTTAGAATGACCTCACATAGTATTTTAATACACATTCTATAGTGTAATATTTAGAATGATCTGAAATCGTTTGAAAATACACATACTACAGTATATTCTTTAGAATGACTTGAAATGGTATTAAAATACATATACTATAGTAGAACGTTTAGAATGACCAGAAAAACCATTACAAATACACATTCGATAATATAATGTTTAGACTGACCTGAAATAGTTTTAAAATACACATATGTTTATCATCCAAGGTACGATTACGAACAAGATTGTCGTCGACATAGATGAGGGTACCTCGCTCTCGAGCATCAGGGCAGGCTTTGTCCAAGAAGATGTTGAACTCAGCTGGTGAGTTGGAATAACCAAAAGGACACCGAGTTAAGGTGTACTGGCAGTTGGCAAAGGAGAAGGCTAGTTTGTGTTGGTCCGATTTATGGACAGGAATTGTCCAGAATCCAGACGCAATGTCAAGGGTGGAGAAGTATTTAGCGTATTTCACTTTTGAGAGTTCTTGTTCCAGGCACGCCATCGGCTACCTAGACAAGGGAACCTGTTTGTTGAGTTGCCTGTAGTAAATGGTTAGTCGCCACTTACCATTAGGCTTCTTTACTGGCCACAATGGAGCCGAGTAGGTGCTGTTGCAGGGTCGGATGATCCCTTTAGTCACGACGCTTTCAATGATTTCCTGGACTGGCCCGTTGGATGCCAGGGGAATCTTGTATGGACGCACAATATTCGGCGCAGCATGTGGCAGTGTAGGAATCCTGACCTCATGGATAGTGGTTAGATCACAGTCCAAGGAGTCGAGTGAAAGAAAATCTTTGTATTTTAACAAAAGTTGTCAGTGTTTGTCTCGCTCGACATGGTTGGTAAGAGCATCTGCTTGGTCCACGACCTGTTCAATCTGAGAAAAAACATCAGAGGGAGTCTCTGATGGCTTTGAGCTCGGCAGTGAGCATGCGGTTCCCCCATGCTCAGAATCACCTACCGCAAGGCAGCGTGAGTCGGGGAAAGAAGGTGGAGTGAATGGCAGAGGTTTTCTAACACCTACCTTCAGTTCCCCAATATCGATAAAAGCATCAAAGCACTTCAAAACATCGATGCCAATGAGCAAAGGCATGGCTCCACTCTCACAGATGTACACGGGGTGTGTCAAGCTCACGGGACCGATCGTGAATTGGAGCAGAGTCTTAGAAGAGCACTGTAGAATCAGAGAAAACACGGATAGTTAATGCACAGGGAATCAGTTCTGGAGGACGTACGCCTCCCCCACATCCAAGCAGACGCAGTCGAAAAGAGACTTGCTCATGATTGTAAAATCTGAACCCGTATCTAAAAGTGTGTTGTAGGGATGCCCCTGTTGCAATATGACAGATACTGTGGGCTTACCACCCTGTGGCAGGAGAGGTCCCAACAGTAGTTCGTCAGGCTCGACACCAGGGGTGCCGGGCCACTATCCGTGGAGGTTGCACTTCTCATCAATGTGGATGGAGCGATATGGGACATGTTGTGTGTTTCCTGTAGTTCAGAGCCAATCAGTACATCCGGTTGCAGCGTTTCCATCTTATCTGGAGGCAAATCAGCGGAGCACAGGGGTTGAGCCCCTCCCACCTGGGAGTCATCTCCAATGGCTTGGACTTTTGTGACTTCCTGTTGCAGATTGAAAAGTTGCATCTGCATGTTTTTCATTTCAGCAAACTGCATATAGCTGGGTCTGTGTTTCATATTTCCACTGGCAAAATAGCATTTGCATTTGAAGTTTAAATTCATTTTTCGTCTGTAGAATGAGAGAAGTCAAATGATAATTTACTTTAAAGCCATTGTACAGAAGTAACAGGTCCTTTAATTTGTTAAAAGATTAATGGAAGCTGAATAGGAAACCCCTACACATACTATAGTATAATGTTTAGAATGACCTGATATAGCATTAAAATACATATACTATAGTATAATGTTTAGAATGACCTGAAAAAGTATGAAAATACACACACTGTAGTATATTGTTTCAAATTACCTGAAATAGCATTAAAATACACATACTATAGTATAATGTTTAGAATGACCAGATTTAGTACTAAAATACACATAGTATAATTTTCAGAGTGACCTCACATAGTATTAAAATACACACACTATAGTATATTGTTTAGAATTACCTGAAATAGCATTAAAATAATACATACTATAGTATAATGTTTAGAATGACCTGAAATAGCATTGAAATACACATACTACAGTATAATGTTTAGAATGACCTGAAAAAGTATTAAAATACACACTTTATAGTATATTGTTCAGAATTACCAGATATAGTATTAAAATGCACTTACTATAGTATAATGTTTAGAATGACCTGAAATTCTCTTCTTCCGGCTCTTGGAGGGTGCAGACGCTTTTCTTCTCTCCTCCATGTCTTGTCCTCAAGGCCTTTGTCTGTCTATGCGTGTTGGGTGTACGGCTGCATCTGCATTTTTTCTGGAAACTGAAATTCACTTAAATGGATCTCGTCAGTTGGTCACTCAACGCGGTTGATGAAATTTTTTCAACGATGAGAACGGGAGAAGGGGCTCTTGGATGCCCCTCCGGGAGAGGCCAGATGTCTGTGGAGGACTCTGAAGATGTGTGGATATTTGTGGTGTTGGGTTTCCTGCCGATCGGCCTTGGAGGCTTCCTGTCTTCCCGGAAAATTAACGAGCTGTAGAGGAATATTGGCCTGATCCCCGAACTCAGAGATGGCTTGCACCGCGCTGTGAATTCAAAGACTCACATAATTGTCAAGATGAATCATAAGCTTGGAACTTTGGCCGGGATTCATTCATTGGCACAGAAGATGGATGCCATGAAGGATAGAGTGGACGAATCAGCACGGATTGGGATAGTTTAAGGTCCATTACTGGGATTTTGACAGGTTGAGGACCAACAAACTGTAAGACAGAGAGGATATTATCTCTGTCTGGCCCCAAAACAATTTCTAATCGGAATCTGGCGCCCTTGAGTCTGCAAGGCTACAACAAAAAAAAACCTCAGAAGATATGTGGAATGTTCCGTCGCTATGGCAACTCAACTCTGTCTCCTATCCCAGTATACTATAGTATGTTTAGAACGACCTGAAAAAGTATTCAAATACACATACTATGGTATAATGTTTAGAATGACCACAAATTGTTTTAAAATACACTACTATAGTAAAACCTTTAGAATGACCAGAAAAAGTTTTAAAATACATATACTATAGTATAATCTTTAGAATGACCTGAAATGGTTTTAAAATACACATATTATAGTACAATGTTTAGAATGACCTCACATAGTATTTTAATACACATTCTATAGTGTAATATTTAGAATGATCTGAAATCGTTTGAAAATACACATACTATAGTATATTCTTTAGAATGACTTGAAATGGTATTAAAATACATATACTATAGTAGAACGTTTAGAATGACCAGAAAAACCATTACAAATACACATTCGATAATATAATGTTTAGACTGACCTGAAATAGTTTTAAAATACACATATGTTTATCATCCAAGGTACGATTACGAACAAGATTGTCGTCGACATAGATGAGGGTACCTCGCTCTCGAGCATCAGGGCAGGCTTTGTCCAAGAAGATGTTGAACTCAGCTGGTGAGTTGGAATAACCGAAAGGACACCGAGTTAAGGTGTACTGGCAGTTGGCAAAGGAGAAGGCTAGTTTGTGTTGGTCCGATTTATGGACAGGAATTGTCCAGAATCCAGACGCAATGTCAAGGGTGGAGAAGTATTTAGCGTATTTCACTTTTGAGAGTTCTTGTTCCAGGCACGCCATCGGCTACCTAGACAAGGGAACCTGTTTGTTGAGTTGCCTGTAGTAAATGGTTAGTCGCCACTTACCATTAGGCTTCTTTACTGGCCACAATGGAGCCGAGTAGGTGCTGTTGCAGGGTCGGATGATCCCTTTAGTCACGACGCTTTCAATGATTTCCTGGACTGACCCGTTGGATGCCAGGGGAATCTTGTATGGACGCACTAAATTCGGCGCAACATGTGGCAGTGTAGGAATCCTGACCTCATGGATAGTGGTTAGATCACAGTCCAAGGAGTCGAGTGAAAGAAAATCTTTGTATTTTAACAAAAGTTGTCAGTGTTTGTCTCGCTCGACATCGTTGGTAAGAGCATCTGCTTGGTCCACGACCTGTTCAATCTGAGAAAAAACATCAGAGGGAGTCTCTGATGGCTTTGAGCTCGGCAGTGAGCATGCGGTTCCCCCATGCTCAGAATCACCTACCGCAAGGCAGCGTGAGTCGGGGAAAGAAGGTGGAGTGAATGGCAGAGGTTTTCTAACACTACCTTCAGTTCCCCAATATTGATAAAAGCATCAAAGCACTTCAAAACATCGATGCCAATGAGCAAAGGCATGGCTCCACTCTCACAGATGTACACGGGGTGTGTCAAGCTCACGGGACCGATCGTGAATTGGAGCAGAGTCTTAGAAGAGCACTGTAGAATCAGAGAAAACACGGATAGTTAATGCACAGGGAATCAGTTCTGGAGGACGTACGCCTCCCCCACATCCAAGCAGACGCAGTCGAAAAGAGACTTGCTCATGATTGTAAAATCTGAACCCGTATCTAAAAGTGTGTTGTAGGGATGCCCCTGTTGCAATATGACAGATACTGTGGGCTTACCACCCTGTGGCAGGAGAGGTCCCAACAGTAGTTCGTCAGGCTCGACACCAGGGGTGCCGGGCCACTATCCGTGGAGGTTGCACTTCTCATCAATGTGGATGGAGCGATATGGGACATGTTGTGTGTTTCCTGTAGTTCAGAGCCAATCAGTACATCCGGTTGCAGCGTTTCCATCTTATCTGGAGGCAAATCAGCGGAGCACAGGGGTTGAGCCCCTCCCACCTGGGAGTCATCTCCAATGGCTTGGACTTTTGTGACTTCCTGTTGCAGATTGAAAAGTTGCATCTGCATGTTTTTCATTTCAGCAAACTGCATATAGCTGGGTCTGTGTTTCATATTTCCACTGGCAAAATAGCATTTGCATTTGAAGTTTAAATTCATTTTTCGTCTGTAGAATGAGAGAAGTCAAATGATAATTTACTTTAAAGCCATTGTACAGAAGTAACAGGTCCTTTAATTTGTTAAAAGATTAATGGAAGCTGAATAGGAAACCCCTACACATACTATAGTATAATGTTTAGAATGACCTGATATAGCATTAAAATACATATACTATAGTATAATGTTTAGAATGACCTGAAAAAGTATGAAAATACACACGCTGTAGTATATTGTTTCAAATTACCTGAAATAGCATTAAAATACACATACTATAGTATAATGTTTAGAATGACCAGATTTAGTACTAAAATACACATAGTATAATTTTCAGAGTGACCTCACATAGTATTAAAATACACACACTATAGTATATTGTTTAGAATTACCTGAAATAGCATTAAAATAATACATACTATAGTATAATGTTTAGAATGACCTGAAATAGCATTGAAATACACATACTACAGTATAATGTTTAGAATGACCTGAAAAAGTATTAAAATACACACTTTATAGTATATTGTTCAGAATTACCAGATATAGTATTAAAATGCACTTACTATAGTATAATGTTTAGAATGACCTGAAATTCTCTTCTTCCGGCTCTTGGAGGGTGCAGACGCTTTTCTTCTCTCCTCCATGTCTTGTCCTCAAGGCCTTTGTCTGTCTATGCGTGTTGGGTGCACGGCTGCATCTGCATTTTTTCTGGAAACTGAAATTCACTTAAATGGATCTCGTCAGTTGGTCACTCAACGCGGTTGATGAAATTTTTTCAACGATGAGAACGGGAGAAGGGGCTCTTGGATGCCCCTCCGGGACAGGCCAGATGTCTGTGGAGGACTCTGAAGATGTGTGGATATTTGTGGTGTTGGGTTTCCTGCCGATCGGCCTTGGAGGCTTCCTGTCTTCCCGGAAAATTAACGAGCTGTAGAGGAATATTGGCCTGATCCCCGAACTCAGAGATGGCTTGCACCGCGCTGTGAATTCAAAGACTCACATAATTGTCAAGATGAATCATAAGCTTGGAACTTTGGCCGGGATTCATTCATTGGCACAGAAGATGGATGCCATGAAGGATAGAGTGGACGAATCAGCACGGATTGGGATAGTTTAAGGTCCATTACTGGGATTTTGACAGGTTGAGGACCAACAAACTGTAAGACAGAGAGGATATTATCTCTGTCTGGCCCCAAAACAATTTCTAATCGGAATCTGGCGCCCTTGAGTCTGCAAGGCTACAACCAAAAAAAAACCTCAGAAGATATGTGGAATGTTCCGTCGCTATGGCAACTCAACTCTGTCTCCTATCCCAGTATACTATAGTATGTTTAGAACGACCTGAAAAAGTATTCAAATACACATACTATGGTATAATGTTTAGAATGACCACAAATTGTTTTAAAATACACTACTATAGTAAAACCTTTAGAATGACCAGAAAAAGTTTTAAAATACATATACTATAGTATAATCTTTAGAATGACCTGAAATGGTTTTAAAATACACATATTATAGTACAATGTTTAGAATGACCTCACATAGTATTTTAATACACATTCTATAGTGTAATATTTAGAATGATCTGAAATCGTTTGAAAATACACATACTATAGTATATTCTTTAGAATGACTTGAAATGGTATTAAAATACATATACTATAGTAGAACGTTTAGAATGACCAGAAAAACCATTACAAATACACATTCGATAATATAATGTTTAGACTGACCTGAAATAGTTTTAAAATACACATATGTTTATCATCCAAGGTACGATTACGAACAAGATTGTCGTCGACATAGATGAGGGTACCTCGCTCTCGAGCATCAGGGCAGGCTTTGTCCAAGAAGATGTTGAACTCAGCTGGTGAGTTGGAATAACCGAAAGGACACCGAGTTAAGGTGTACTGGCAGTTGGCAAAGGAGAAGGCTAGTTTGTGTTGGTCCGATTTATGGACAGGAATTGTCCAGAATCCAGACGCAATGTCAAGGGTGGAGAAGTATTTAGCGTATTTCACTTTTGAGAGTTCTTGTTCCAGGCACGCCATCGGCTACCTAGACAAGGGAACCTGTTTGTTGAGTTGCCTGTAGTAAATGGTTAGTCGCCACTTACCATTAGGCTTCTTTACTGGCCACAATGGAGCCGAGTAGGTGCTGTTGCAGGGTCGGATGATCCCTTTAGTCACGACGCTTTCAATGATTTCCTGGACTGGCCCGTTGGATGCCAGGGGAATCTTGTATGGACGCACAATATTCGGCGCAGCATGTGGCAGTGTAGGAATCCTGACCTCATGGATAGTGGTTAGATCACAGTCCAAGGAGTCGAGTGAAAGAAAATCTTTGTATTTTAACAAAAGTTGTCAGTGTTTGTCTCGCTCGACATCGTTGGTAAGAGCATCTGCTTGGTCCACGACCTGTTCAATCTGAGAAAAAACATCAGAGGGAGTCTCTGATGGCTTTGAGCTCGGCAGTGAGCATGCGGTTCCCCCATGCTCAGAATCACCTACCGCAAGGCAGCGTGAGTCGGGGAAAGAAGGTGGAGTGAATGGCAGAGGTTTTCTAACACCTACCTTCAGTTCCCCAATATTGATAAAAGCATCAAAGCACTTCAAAACATCGATGCCAATGAGCAAAGGCATGGCTCCACTCTCACAGATGTACACGGGGTGTGTCAAGCTCACGGGACCGATCGTGAATTGGAGCAGAGTCTTAGAAGAGCACTGTAGAATCAGAGAAAACACGGATAGTTAATGCACAGGGAATCAGTTCTGGAGGACGTACGCCTCCCCCACATCCAAGCAGACGCAGTCGAAAAGAGACTTGCTCATGATTGTAAAATCTGAACCCGTATCTAAAAGTGTGTTGTAGGGATGCCCCTGTTGCAATATGACAGATACTGTGGGCTTACCACCCTGTGGCAGGAGAGGTCCCAACAGTAGTTCGTCAGGCTCGACACCAGGGGTGCCGGGCCACTATCCGTGGAGGTTGCACTTCTCATCAATGTGGATGGAGCGATATGGGACATGTTGTGTGTTTCCTGTAGTTCAGAGCCAATCAGTACATCCGGTTGCAGCGTTTCCATCTTATCTGGAGGCAAATCAGCGGAGCACAGGGGTTGAGCCCCTCCCACCTGGGAGTCATCTCCAATGGCTTGGACTTTTGTGACTTCCTGTTGCAGATTGAAAAGTTGCATCTGCATGTTTTTCATTTCAGCAAACTGCATATAGCTGGGTCTGTGTTTCATATTTCCACTGGCAAAATAGCATTTGCATTTGAAGTTTAAATTCATTTTTCGTCTGTAGAATGAGAGAAGTCAAATGATAATTTACTTTAAAGCCATTGTACAGAAGTAACAGGTCCTTTAATTTGTTAAAAGATTAATGGAAGCTGAATAGGAAACCCCTACACATACTATAGTATAATGTTTAGAATGACCTGATATAGCATTAAAATACATATACTATAGTATAATGTTTAGAATGACCTGAAAAAGTATGAAAATACACACGCTGTAGTATATTGTTTCAAATTACCTGAAATAGCATTAAAATACACATACTATAGTATAATGTTTAGAATGACCAGATTTAGTACTAAAATACACATAGTATAATTTTCAGAGTGACCTCACATAGTATTAAAATACACACACTATAGTATATTGTTTAGAATTACCTGAAATAGCATTAAAATATACATACTATAGTATAATGTTTAGAATGACCTGAAATAGCATTGAAATACACATACTACAGTATAATGTTTAGAATGACCTGAAAAAGTATTAAAATACACACTTTATAGTATATTGTTCAGAATTACCAGATATAGTATTAAAATGCACTTACTATAGTATAATGTTTAGAATGACCTGAAATTCTCTTCTTCCGGCTCTTGGAGGGTGCAGACGCTTTTCTTCTCTCCTCCATGTCTTGTCCTCAAGGCCTTTGTCTGTCTATGCGTGTTGGGTGCACGGCTGCATCTGCATTTTTTCTGGAAACTGAAATTCACTTAAATGGATCTCGTCAGTTGGTCACTCAACGCGGTTGATGAAATTTTTTCAACGAGGAGAACGGGAGAAGGGGCTCTTGGATGCCCCTCCGGGACAGGCCAGATGTCTGTGGAGGACTCTGAAGATGTGTGGATATTTGTGGTGTTGGATTTCCTGCCGATCGGCCTTGGAGGCTTCCTGTCTTCCCGGAAAATTAACGAGCTGTAGAGGAATATTGGCCTGATCCCCGAACTCAGAGATGGCTTGCACCGCGCTGTGAATTCAAAGACTCACATAATTGTCAAGATGAATCATAAGCTTGGAACTTTGGCCGGGATTCATTCATTGGCACAGAAGATGGATGCCATGAAGGATAGAGTGGAGGAATCAGCACGGATTGGGATAGTTTAAGGTCCATTACTGGGATTTTGACAGGTTGAGGACCAACAAACTGTAAGACAGAGAGGATATTATCTCTGTCTGGCCCCAAAACAATTTCTAATCGGAATCTGGCGCCCTTGAGTCTGCAAGGCTACAACAAAAAAAAAACCTCAGAAGATATGTGGAATGTTCCGTCGCTATGGCAACTCAACTCTGTCTCCTATCCCAGTATACTATAGTATGTTTAGAACGACCTGAAAAAGTATTCAAATACACATACTATGGTATAATGTTTAGAATGACCACAAATAGTTTTAAAATACACTACTATAGTAAAACCTTTAGAATGACCAGAAAAAGTTTTAAAATACATATACTATAGTATAATCTTTAGAATGACCTGAAATGGTTTTAAAATACACATATTATAGTACAATGTTTAGAATGACCTCACATAGTATTTTAATACACATTCTATAGTGTAATATTTAGAATGATCTGAAATCGTTTGAAAATACACATACTATAGTATATTCTTTAGAATGACTTGAAATGGTATTAAAATACATATACTATAGTAGAACGTTTAGAATGACCAGAAAAACCATTACAAATACACATTCGATAATATAATGTTTAGACTGACCTGAAATAGTTTTAAAATACACATATGTTTATCATCCAAGGTACGATTACGAACAAGATTGTCGTCGACATAGATGAGGGTACCTCGCTCTCGAGCATCAGGGCAGGCTTTGTCCAAGAAGATGTTGAACTCAGCTGGTGAGTTGGAATAACCGAAAGGACACCGAGTTAAGGTGTACTGGCAGTTGGCAAAGGAGAAGGCTAGTTTGTGTTGGTCCGATTTATGGACAGGAATTGTCCAGAATCCAGACGCAATGTCAAGGGTGGAGAAGTATTTAGCGTATTTCACTTTTGAGAGTTCTTGTTCCAGGCACGCCATCGGCTACCTAGACAAGGGAACCTGTTTGTTGAGTTGCCTGTAGTAAATGGTTAGTCGCCACTTACCATTAGGCTTCTTTACTGGCCACAATGGAGCCGAGTAGGTGCTGTTGCAGGGTCGGATGATCCCTTTAGTCACGACGCTTTCAATGATTTCCTGGACTGGCCCGTTGGATGCCAGGGGAATCTTGTATGGACGCACAAAATTCGGCGCAGCATGTGGCAGTGTAGGAATCCTGACCTCATGGATAGTGGTTAGATCACAGTCCAAGGAGTCGAGTGAAAGAAAATCTTTGTATTTTAACAAAAGTTGTCAGTGTTTGTCTCGCTCGACATCGTTGGTAAGAGCATCTGCTTGGTCCACAACCTGTTCAATCTGAGAAAAAACATCAGAGGGAGTCTCTGATGGCTTTGAGCTCGGCAGTGAGCATGCGGTTCCCCCATGCTCAGAATAACCTACCGCAAGGCAGCGTGAGTCGGGGAAAGAAGGTGGAGTGAATGGCAGAGGTTTTCTAACACCTACCTTCAGTTCCCCAATATCGATAAAAGCATCAAAGCACTTCAAAACATCGATGCCAATGAGCAAAGGCATGGCTCCACTCTCACAGATGTACACGGGGTGTGTCAAGCTCACGGGACCGATCGTGAATTGGAGCAGAGTCTTAGAAGAACACTGTAGAATCAGAGAAAACACGGATAGTTAATGCACAGGGAATCAGTTCTGGAGGACGTACGCCTCCCCCTACATCCAAGCAGACGCAGTCGAAACGAGACTTGCTCATGATTGTAAAATCTGAACCTGTATCTAAAAGTGTGTTGTAGGGATGGCCCTGTTGCAATATGACAGATACTGTGGGCTTACCACCCTGTGGCAGGAGAGGTCCCAACAGTAGTTCGTCAGGCTCGACACCAGAGGTGCCGGGCCACTATCCGTGGAGGTTGCACTTCTCATCAATGTGGATGGAGCGATATGGGACATTTTGTGTGTTTCCTGTAGTTCAGAGCCAATCAGTACATCCGGTTGTAGCGTTTCCATCTTATCTGGAGGCAAATCAGCGGAGCACAGGGGTTGAGCCCCTCCCACCTGGGAGTCATCTCCAATGGCTTGGACTTTTGTGACTTCCTGTTGCAGATTGAAAAGTTGCATCTGCATGTTTTTCATTTCAGCAAACTGCATATAGCTGGGTCTGTGTTTCATATTTCCACTGGCAAAATAGCATTTGAAGTTTAAATTCATTTTTAGTCTGTAGAATGAGAGAAGTCAAATGATAATTTACTTTAAAGCCATTGTACAGAAGTAACAGGTCCTTTAATTTGTTAAAAAATTAATGGAAGCTGAATAGGAAACCCCTACACATACTATAGTATAATGTTTAGAATGACCTGATATAGCATTAAAATACATATACTATAGTATAATGTTTAGAATGACCTGAAAAAGTATGAAAATACACACGCTGTAGTATATTGTTTCAAATTACCTGAAATAGCATTAAAATACACATACTATAGTATAATGTTTAGAATGACCAGATTTAGTACTAAAATACACATATTATAGTATAATTTTCAGAGTGACCTCACATTGTATTAAAATACACACACTATAGTATATTGTTTAGAATTACCTGAAAGAGCATTAAAATATACATACTATAGTATAATGTTTAGAATGACCTGAAATAGCATTGAAATACACATACTACAGTATAATGTTTAGAATGACCTGAAAAAGTATTAAAATACACACTTTATAGTATATTGTTCAGAATTACCAGATATAGTATTAAAATGCACTTACTATAGTATAATGTTTAGAATGACCTGAAATTCTCTTCTTCCGGCTCTTGGAGGGTGCAGACGCTTTTCTTCTCTCCTCCATGTCTTGTCCTCAAGGCCTTTGTCTGTCTATGCGTGTTGGGTGCACGGCTGCATCTGCATTTTTTCTGGAAACTGAAATTCACTTAAATGGATCTCGTCAGTTGGTCACTCAACGCGGTTGATGAAATTTTTTCAACGATGAGAACGGGAGAAGGGGCTCTTGGATGCCCCTCCGGGACAGGCCAGATGTCTGTGGAGGACTCTGAAGATGTGTGGATATTTGTGGTGTTGGGTTTCCTGCCGTTCGGCCTTGGAGGCTTCCTGTCTTCCCGGAAAATTAACGAGCTGTAGAGGAATATTGGCCTGATCCCCGAACTCAGAGATGGCTTGCACCGCGCTGTGAATTCAAAGACTCACATAATTGTCAAGATGAATCATAAGCTTGGAACTTTGGCCGGGATTCATTCATTGGCACAGAAGATGGATGCCATGAAGGATAGAGTGGACGAATCAGCACGGATTGGGATAGTTTAAGGTCCATTACTGGGATTTTCACAGGTTGAGGACCAACAAACTGTAAGACAGAGAGGAAATTATCTCTGTCTGGCCCCAAAACAATTTCTAATCGGAATCTGGCGCCCTTGAGTCTGCAAGGCTAAAACATAAAAAAAAAACCTCAGAAGATATGTGGAATGTTCCGTCAATATGGCAACTCAACTCTGTCTCCTATCCCAGTATACTATAGTATGTTTAGAACGACCTGAAAAAGTATTCAAATACACATACTATGGTATAATGTTTAGAATGACCACAAATAGTTTTAAAATACACTACTATAGTAAAACCTTTAGAATGACCAGAAAAAGTTTTAAAATACATATACTATAGTATAATCTTTAGAATGACCTGAAATGGTTTTAAAATACACATATTATAGTACAATGTTTAGAATGACCTCACATAGTATTTTAATACACATTCTATAGTGTAATATTTAGAATGATCTGAAATCGTTTGAAAATACACATACTATAGTATATTCTTTAGAATGACTTGAAATGGTATTAAAATACATATACTATAGTAGAACGTTTAGAATGACCAGAAAAACCATTACAAATACACATTCGATAATATAATGTTTAGACTGACCTGAAATAGTTTTAAAATACACATGTTTATCATCCAAGGTACGATTACGAACAAGATTGTCGTCGACATAGATGAGGGTACCTCGCTCTCGAGCATCAGGGCAGGCTTTGTCCAAGAAGATGTTGAACTCAGCTGGTGAGTTGGAATAACCGAAAGGACACCGAGTTAAGGTGTACTGGCAGTTGGCAAAGGAGAAGGCTAGTTTGTGTTGGTCCGATTTATGGACAGGAATTGTCCAGAATCCAGACGCAATGTCAAGGGTGGAGAAGTATTTAGCGTATTTCACTTTTGAGAGTTCTTGTTCCAGGCACGCCATCGGCTACCTAGACAAGGGAACCTGTTTGTTGAGTTGCCTGTAGTAAATGGTTAGTCGCCACTTACCATTAGGCTTCTTTACTGGCCACAATGGAGCCGAGTAGGTGCTGTTGCAGGGTCGGATGATCCCTTTAGTCACGACGCTTTCAATGATTTCCTGGACTGGCCCGTTGGATGCCAGGGGAATCTTGTATGGACGCACAAAATTCGGCGCAGCATGTGGCAGTGTAGGAATCCTGACCTCATGGATAGTGGTTAGATCACAGTCCAAGGAGTCGAGTGAAAGAAAATCTTTGTATTTTAACAAAAGTTGTCAGTGTTTGTCTCGCTCGACATCGTTGGTAAGAGCATCTGCTTGGTCCACAACCTGTTCAATCTGAGAAAAAACATCAGAGGGAGTCTCTGATGGCTTTGAGCTCGGCAGTGAGCATGCGGTTCCCCCATGCTCAGAATCACCTACCGCAAGGCAGCGTGAGTCGGGGAAAGAAGGTGGAGTGAATGGCAGAGGTTTTCTAACACCTACCTTCAGTTCCCCAATATCGATAAAAGCATCAAAGCACTTCAAAACATCGATGCCAATGAGCAAAGGCATGGCTCCACTCTCACAGATGTACACGGGGTGTGTCAAGCTCACGGGACCGATCGTGAATTGGAGCAGAGTCTTAGAAGAACACTGTAGAATCAGAGAAAACACGGATAGTTAATGCACAGGGAATCAGTTCTGGAGGACGTACGCCTCCCCCTACATCCAAGCAGACGCAGTCGAAACGAGACTTGCTCATGATTGTAAAATCTGAACCCGTATCTAAAAGTGTGTTGTAGGGATGCCCCTGTTGCAATATGACAGATACTGTGGGCTTACCACCCTGTGGCAGGAGAGGTCCCAACAGTAGTTCGTCAGGCTCGACACCAGGGGTGCCGGGCCACTATCCGTGGAGGTTGCACTTCTCATCAATGTGGATGGAGCGATATGGGACATGTTGTGTGTTTCCTGTAGTTCAGAGCCAATCAGTACATCCGGTTGTAGCGTTTCCATCTTATCTGGAGGCAAATCAGCGGAGCACAGGGGTTGAGCCCCTCCCACCTGGGAGTCATCTCCAATGGCTTGGACTTTTGTGACTTCCTGTTGCAGATTGAAAAGTTGCATCTGCATGTTTTTCATTTCAGCAAACTGCATATAGCTGGGTCTGTGTTTCATATTTCCACTGGCAAAATAGCATTTGAAGTTTAAATTCATTTTTAGTCTGTAGAATGAGAGGTCAAATGATAATTTACTTTAAAGCCATTGTACAGAAGTAACAGGTCCTTTAATTTGTTAAAAAATTAATGGAAGCTGAATAGGAAACCCCTACACATACTATAGTATAATGTTTAGAATGACCTGATATAGCATTAAAATACATATACTATAGTATAATGTTTAGAATGACCTGAAAAAGTATGAAAATACACACGCTGTAGTATATTGTTTCAAATTACCTGAAATAGCATTAAAATACACATACTATAGTATAATGTTTAGAATGACCAGATTTAGTACTAAAATACACATAGTATAATTTTCAGAGTGACCTCACACAGTATTAAAATACACACACTATAGTATATTGTTTAGAATTACCTGAAATAGCATTAAAATATACATACTATAGTATAATGTTTAGAATGACCTGAAATAGCATTGAAATACACATACTACAGTATAATGTTTAGATTGACCTGAAAAAGTATTAAAATACACACTTTATAGTATATTGTTCAGAATTACCAGATATAGTATTAAAATGCACTTACTATAGTATAATGTTTAGAATGACCTGAAATTCTCTTCTTCCGGCTCTTGGAGGGTGCAGACGCTTTTCTTCTCCTCTCCTCCATGTCTTGTCCTCAAGGCCTTTGTCTGTCTATGCGTGTTGGGTGCACGGCTGCATCTGCATTTTTTCTGGAAACTGAAATTCACTTAAATGGTTCTCGTCAGTTGGTCACTCAACGCGGTTGATGAAATTTTTTCAACGATGAGAATGGGAGAAGGGGCTCTTGGATGCCCCTCCGGGACAGGCCAGATGTCTGTGGAGGACTCTGAAGATGTGTGGATATTTGTGGTGTTGGGTTTCCTGCCGATCGGCCTTGGAGGCTTCCTGTCTTCCCGGAAAATTAACGAGATGTAGAGGAATTTTGGCTTGATCCCCGAACTCAGAGATGGCTTGCACCGCGCTGTGAATTCAAAGACTCACATAATTGTCAAGATGAATCATAAGCTTGGAACTTTGGCCGGGATTCATTCATTGGCACAGAAGATGGATGCCATGAAGGATAGAGTGGACGAATCAGCACGGATTGGGATAGTTTAAGGTCCATTACTGGGATTTTCACAGGTTGAGGACCAACAAACTGTAAGACAGAGAGGAAATTATCTCTGTCTGGCCCCAAAACAATTTCTAATCGGAATCTGGCGCCCTTGAGTCTGCAAGGCTAAAACATAAAAAAAAAACCTCAGAAGATATGTGGAATGTTCCGTCAATATGGCAACTCAACTCTGTCTCCTATCCCAGTATACTATAGTATGTTTAGAACGACCTGAAAAAGTATTCAAATACACATACTATGGTATAATGTTTAGAATGACCACAAATAGTTTTAAAATACACTACTATAGTAAAACCTTTAGAATGACCAGAAAAAGTTTTAAAATACATATACTATAGTATAATCTTTAGAATGACCTGAAATGGTTTTAAAATACACATATTATAGTACAATGTTTAGAATGACCTCACATAGTATTTTAATACACATTCTATAGTGTAATATTTAGAATGATCTGAAATCGTTTGAAAATACACATACTATAGTATATTCTTTAGAATGACTTGAAATGGTATTAAAATACATATACTATAGTAGAACGTTTAGAATGACCAGAAAAACCATTACAAATACACATTCGATAATATAATGTTTAGACTGACCTGAAATAGTTTTAAAATACACATGTTTATCATCCAAGGTACGATTACGAACAAGATTGTCGTCGACATAGATGAGGGTACCTCGCTCTCGAGCATCAGGGCAGGCTTTGTCCAAGAAGATGTTGAACTCAGCTGGTGAGTTGGAATAACCGAAAGGACACCGAGTTAAGGTGTACTGGCAGTTGGCAAAGGAGAAGGCTAGTTTGTGTTGGTCCGATTTATGGACAGGAATTGTCCAGAATCCAGACGCAATGTCAAGGGTGGAGAAGTATTTAGCGTATTTCACTTTTGAGAGTTCTTGTTCCAGGCACGCCATCGGCTACCTAGACAAGGGAACCTGTTTGTTGAGTTGCCTGTAGTAAATGGTTAGTCGCCACTTACCATTAGGCTTCTTTACTGGCCACAATGGAGCCGAGTAGGTGCTGTTGCAGGGTCGGATGATCCCTTTAGTCACGACGCTTTCAATGATTTCCTGGACTGGCCCGTTGGATGCCAGGGGAATCTTGTATGGACGCACAAAATTCGGCGCAGCATGTGGCAGTGTAGGAATCCTGACCTCATGGATAGTGGTTAGATCACAGTCCAAGGAGTCGAGTGAAAGAAAATCTTTGTATTTTAACAAAAGTTGTCAGTGTTTGTCTCGCTCGACATCGTTGGTAAGAGCATCTGCTTGGTCCACAACCTGTTCAATCTGAGAAAAAACATCAGAGGGAGTCTCTGATGGCTTTGAGCTCGGCAGTGAGCATGCGGTTCCCCCATGCTCAGAATAACCTACCGCAAGGCAGCGTGAGTCGGGGAAAGAAGGTGGAGTGAATGGCAGAGGTTTTCTAACACCTACCTTCAGTTCCCCAATATCGATAAAAGCATCAAAGCACTTCAAAACATCGATGCCAATGAGCAAAGGCATGGCTCCACTCTCACAGATGTACACGGGGTGTGTCAAGCTCACGGGACCGATCGTGAATTGGAGCAGAGTCTTAGAAGAACACTGTAGAATCAGAGAAAACACGGATAGTTAATGCACAGGGAATCAGTTCTGGAGGACGTACGCCTCCCCCTACATCCAAGCAGACGCAGTCGAAACGAGACTTGCTCATGATTGTAAAATCTGAACCTGTATCTAAAAGTGTGTTGTAGGGATGGCCCTGTTGCAATATGACAGATACTGTGGGCTTACCACCCTGTGGCAGGAGAGGTCCCAACAGTAGTTCGTCAGGCTCGACACCAGAGGTGCCGGGCCACTATCCGTGGAGGTTGCACTTCTCATCAATGTGGATGGAGCGATATGGGACATTTTGTGTGTTTCCTGTAGTTCAGAGCCAATCAGTACATCCGGTTGTAGCGTTTCCATCTTATCTGGAGGCAAATCAGCGGAGCACAGGGGTTGAGCCCCTCCCACCTGGGAGTCATCTCCAATGGCTTGGACTTTTGTGACTTCCTGTTGCAGATTGAAAAGTTGCATCTGCATGTTTTTCATTTCAGCAAACTGCATATAGCTGGGTCTGTGTTTCATATTTCCACTGGCAAAATAGCATTTGAAGTTTAAATTCATTTTTAGTCTGTAGAATGAGAGGTCAAATGATAATTTACTTTAAAGCCATTGTACAGAAGTAACAGGTCCTTTAATTTGTTAAAAAATTAATGGAAGCTGAATAGGAAACCCCTACACATACTATAGTATAATGTTTAGAATGACCTGATATAGCATTAAAATACATATACTATAGTATAATGTTTAGAATGACCTGAAAAAGTATGAAAATACACACGCTGTAGTATATTGTTTCAAATTACCTGAAATAGCATTAAAATACACATACTATAGTATAATGTTTAGAATGACCAGATTTAGTACTAAAATACACATAGTATAATTTTCAGAGTGACCTCACACAGTATTAAAATACACACACTATAGTATATTGCTTAGAATTACCTGAAATAGCATTAAAATATACATACTATAGTATAATGTTTAGAATGACCTGAAATAGCATTGAAATACACATACTACAGTATAATGTTTAGATTGACCTGAAAAAGTATTAAAATACACACTTTATAGTATATTGTTCAGAATTACCAGATATAGTATTAAAATGCACTTACTATAGTATAATGTTTAGAATGACCTGAAATTCTCTTCTTCCGGCTCTTGGAGGGTGCAGACGCTTTTCTTCTCCTCTCCTCCATGTCTTGTCCTCAAGGCCTTTGTCTGTCTATGCGTGTTGGGTGCACGGCTGCATCTGCATTTTTTCTGGAAACTGAAATTCACTTAAATGGATCTCGTCAGTTGGTCACTCAACGCGGTTGATGAAATTTTTTCAACGATGAGAATGGGAGAAGGGGCTCTTGGATGCCCCTCCGGGACAGGCCAGATGTCTGTGGAGGACTCTGAAGATGTGTGGATATTTGTGGTGTTGGGTTTCCTGCCGATCGGCCGTGGAGGCTTCCTGTCTTCCCGGAAAATTAACGAGCTGTAGAGGAATATTGGCTTGATCCCCGAACTCAGAGATGGCTTGCACCGCGCTGTGAATTCAAAGACTCACATAATTGTCAAGATGAATCATAAGCTTGGAACTTTGGCCGGGATTCATTCATTGGCACAGAAGATGGATGCCATGAAGGATAGAGTGGACGAATCAGCACGGATTGGGATAGTTTAAGGTCCATTACTGGGATTTTGACAGGTTGAGGACCAACAAACTGTAAGACAGAGAGGATATTATCTCTGTCGGGCCCCAAAACAATTTCTAATCGGAATCTGGCGCCCTTGAGTCTGCAAGGCTACAACAAAAAAAAACCTCAGAAGATATGTGGAATGTTCCGTCGCTATGGCAACTCAACTCTGTCTCCTATCCCAGTATACTATAGTATGTTTAAAACGACCTGAAAAAGTATTCAAATACACATACTATGGTATAATGTTTAGAATGACCACAAATAGTTTTAAAATACACTACTATAGTAAAACCTTTAGAATGACCAGAAAAAGTTTTAAAATACATATACTATAGTATAATCTTTAGAATGACCTGAAATGGTTTTAAAATACACATATTATAGTACAATGTTTAGAATGACCTCACATAGTATTTTAATACACATTCTATAGTGTAATATTTAGAATGATCTGAAATCGTTTGAAAATACACATACTATAGTATATTCTTTAGAATGACTTGAAATGGTATTAAAATACATATACTATAGTAGAACGTTTAGAATGACCAGAAAAACCATTACAAATACACATTCGATAATATAATGTTTAGACTGACCTGAAATAGTTTTAAAATACACATATGTTTATCATCCAAGGTACGATTACGAACAAGATTGTCGTCGACATAGATGAGGGTACCTCGCTCTCGAGCATCAGGGCAGGCTTTGTCCAAGAAGATGTTGAACTCAGCTGGTGAGTTGGAATAACCGAAAGGACACCGAGTTAAGGTGTACTGGCAGTTGGCAAAGGAGAAGGCTAGTTTGTGTTGGTCCGATTTATGGACAGGAATTGTCCAGAATCCAGACGCAATGTCAAGGGTGGAGAAGTATTTAGCGTATTTCACTTTTGAGAGTTCTTGTTCCAGGCACGCCATCGGCTACCTAGACAAGGGAACCTGTTTGTTGAGTTGCCTGTAGTAAATGGTTAGTCGCCACTTACCATTAGGCTTCTTTACTGGCCACAATGGAGCCGAGTAGGTGCTGTTGCAGGGTCGGATGATCCCTTTAGTCACGACGCTTTCAATGATTTCCTGGACTGGCCCGTTGGATGCCAGGGGAATCTTGTATGGACGCACAATATTCGGCGCAGCATGTGGCAGTGTAGGAATCCTGACCTCATGGATAGTGGTTAGATCACAGTCCAAGGAGTCGAGTGAAAGAAAATCTTTGTATTTTAACAAAAGTTGTCAGTGTTTGTCTCGCTCGACATCGTTGGTAAGAGCATCTGCTTGGTCCACGAACTGTTCAATCTGAGAAAAAACATCAGAGGGAGTCTCTGATGGCTTTGAGCTCGGCAGTGAGCATGCGGTTCCCCCATGCTCAGAATCACCTACCGCAAGGCAGCGTGAGTCGGGGAAAGAAGGTGGAGTGAATGGCAGAGGTTTTCTAACACCTACCTTCAGTTCCCCAATATTGATAAAAGCATCAAAGCACATCAAAACATCGATGCCAATGAGCAAAGGCATGGCTCCACTCTCACAGATGTACACGGGGTGTGTCAAGCTCACGGGACCAATCGTGAATTGGAGCAGAGTCTTAGAAGAACACTGTAGAATCAGAGAAAACACGGATAGTTAATGCACAGGGAATCAGTTCTGGAGGACGTACGCCTCCCCCTACATCCAAGCAGACGCAGTCGAAAAGAGACTTGCTCATGATTGTAAAATCTGAACCCGTATCTAAAAGTGTGTTGTAGGGATGGCCCTGTTGCAATATGACAGATACTGTGGGCTTACCACCCTGTGGCAGGAGAGGTCCCAACAGTAGTTCGTCAGGCTCGACACCAGGGGTGCCGGGCCACTATCCGTGGAGGTTGCACTTCTCATCAATGTGGATGGAGCGATATGGGACATGTTGTGTGTTTCCTGTAGTTCAGAGCCAATCAGTACATCCAGTTGCAGCGTTTCCATCTTATCTGGAGGCAAATCAGCGGAGCACAGGGGTTGAGCCCCTCCCACCTAGGAGTCATCTCCAATGGCTTGGACTTTTGTGACTTCCTGTTGCAGATTGAAAAGTTGCATCTGCATGTTTTTCATTTCAGCAAACTGCATATAGCTGGGTCTGTGTTTCATATTTCCACTGGCAAAATAGCATTTGCATTTGAAGTTTAAATTCATTTTTCGTCTGTAGAATGAGAGAAGTCAAATTATAATTTACTTTAAAGCCATTGTACAGAAGTAACAGGTCCTTTAATTTGTTAAAAAATTAATGGAAGCTGAATAGGAAACCCCTACACATACTATAGTATAATGATCAGAATGACCTGAAATAGCATTAAATTACATATACTATAGTATAACGTTTAGAAAAACCTGAAAAAGTATTAAAATACACACGCTATAGTATATTGTTTCAAATTACCTGAAATAGCATTAAAATACACATACTATAGTATAATGTTTAGAATGACCAGATTTAGTACTAAAATACACATATTATAGTATAATTTTCAGAGTGACCTCACATTGTATTAAAATACACACACTATAGTATATTGTTTAGAATTACCTGAAATAGCATTAAAATATACATACTATAGTATAATGTTTAGAATGACCTGAAATAGCATTGAAATACACATACTACAGTATAATGTTTAGAATGACCTGAAAAAGTATTAAAATACACACTTTATAGTATATTGTTCAGAATTACCAGATATAGTATTAAAATGCACTTACTATAGTATAATGTTTAGAATGACCTGAAATTCTCTTCTTCCGGCTCTTGGAGGGTGCAGACGCTTTTCTTCTCTCCTCCATGTCTTGTCCTCAAGGCCTTTGTCTGTCTATGCGTGTTGGGTGCACGGCTGCATCTGCATTTTTTCTGGAAACTGAAATTCACTTAAATGGATCTCGTCAGTTGGTCACTCAACGCGGTTGATGAAATTTTTTCAACGATGAGAACGGGAGAAGGGGCTCTTGGATGCCCCTCCGGGACAGGCCAGATGTCTGTGGAGGACTCTGAAGATGTGTGGATATTTGTGGTGTTGGGTTTCCTGCCGATCGGCCTTGGAGGCTTCCTGTCTTCCCGGAAAATTAATGAGCTGTAGAGGAATATTGGCCTGATCCCCGAACTCAGAGATGGCTTGCACCGCGCTGTGAATTCAAAGACTCACATAATTGTCAAGATGAATCATAAGCTTGGAACTTTGGCCGGGATTCATTCATTGGCACAGAAGATGGATGCCATGAAGGATAGAGTGGACGAATCAGCACGGATTGGGATAGTTTAAGGTCCATTACTGGGATTTTCACAGGTTGAGGACCAACAAACTGTAAGACAGAGAGGAAATTATCTCTGTCTGGCCCCAAAACAATTTCTAATCGGAATCTGGCGCCCTTGAGTCTGCAAGGCTACAACATAAAAAAAAACCTCAGAAGATATGTGGAATGTTCCGTCAATATGGCAACTCAACTCTGTCTCCTATCCCAGTATACTATAGTATGTTTAGAACGACCTGAAAAAGTATTCAAATACACATACTATGGTATAATGTTTAGAATGACCACAAATAAGTTTTAAAATACACTACTATAGTAAAACCTTTAGAATGACCAGAAAAAGTTTTAAAATACATATACTATAGTATAATCTTTAGAATGACCTGAAATGGTTTTAAAATACACATATTATAGTACAATGTTTAGAATGACCTCACATAGTATTTTAATACACATTCTATAGTGTAATATTTAGAATGATCTGAAATCGTTTGAAAATACACATACTATAGTATATTCTTTAGAATGACTTGAAATGGTATTAAAATACATATACTATAGTAGAACGTTTAGAATGACCAGAAAAACCATTACAAATACACATTCGATAATATAATGTTTAGACTGACCTGAAATAGTTTTAAAATACACATATGTTTATCATCCAAGGTACGATTACGAACAAGATTGTCGTCGACATAGATGAGGGTACCTCGCTCTCGAGCATCAGGGCAGGCTTTGTCCAAGAAGATGTTGAACTCAGCTGGTGAGTTGGAATAACCGAAAGGACACCGAGTTAAGGTGTACTGGCAGTTGGCAAAGGAGAAGGCTAGTTTGTGTTGGTCCGATTTATGGACAGGAATTGTCCAGAATCCAGACGCAATGTCAAGGGTGGAGAAGTATTTAGCGTATTTCACTTTTGAGAGTTCTTGTTCCAGGCACGCCATCGGCTACCTAGA